ATGGAATGGAAATAACAGAAATAATTTAATTGAACAAGATAGTTGAAGGAGGAAGAATGTAATCTACAATATATTGAAAGTGGGGATCGTGGATAAGCTTTTAAATACAAAATATACCCCTACATATTTAACTATATGACCTCTATAACCCTCATAATTGGAATACCAATTTAATTAGTATTTATCATTTGGTTTACAATTAATATAATATAAGGAGTGAAATATTTAATTTATATTTATCATTTTTGGATTAGAATTAATATAAATAGTGAAACAAACATTCAACTAGATTGAAAAAAAATAAAAATAAAAATAAAAATAGTAACTTACCTTTCAACCATTTTTCTTTCAATTTTTATCTTTATCAACAAAACCCTTATTAATTTTCATGATTTATATTATAATTTATGCAATAAGTTTTTATTTTTCATCAACAGAGCAATTTTTAATCTTTGTGCTCTACATTATAATTCATCCATTACGTTATTGTTCAATTGAGATTAAAAATATTTTAAATGTTGCGTTAATATATTAATGAGGACATTCAATGAATAAAAAAGAAATTATAAAAGGAAATTCAATGACTAACATTCAATTGATTTTTTTTTCTTTTACAATTTTAAATTTTCATCAACAAAGGTCTTATCACCAATTTAATTAATATTTATCATTTGATTTGGAATTAATATAAGTGGAGAAATATTTAATTGATATTTATTACTTGGGTTGGAATTAATATAAGGAGTGAAACTGAGACTCAATTATTAAAAGAATATTGATAAATCAACGAAAATTTAGTGACTTGTCATTCAATTGAGTATTTTGCTCTTACAATTTTTATTTTCCATCAACAAAGCAATTTTTTATTTTTCATCGACAAAACCCTTATTAATCTTTTTGATTTACATTATAATTCATCCATTGAGTTTTCATTTTTCATTAACAAAGCAATTTTTATTTTTCATCACCTAAGCCCTTATTAATCTTTATGATTTACATTATAATTCATCGATTATGTTATTATTTAATTGAGGTTACAAAATTGAAAGGTTACATTAATGTATTAATGAGGTAACAAATGTGCTAAATGTTGCATAAATATATTAATTGGGACATTCGATCACTGAAAAAAAAATATTACACAAGAAAATTGAATGGCTTATCTTTCAATTTATTAATTTTTCCTTACTTTTTTTTCATCAACAAGCCATTATTAATCTTCATAATTTACAATATAATTTATGCCTTAAGTGATTATTTAATTGAGGTTGCAAAATTAAAAGGTTGCATTAATATATCTAATTAACTCCAACAAATGATGAAGGATATTCATTTAAATTCGAAAGGAAACAATTTTTAATACATCTATGCTTTGCAATGACAATTAACAAAGCTCAAAGACAAACATTGTCTACTGCTGGAATATATCTTCTTAAACATTTATTCTCTCATGGGCAACTATATGTCGCACTTTCTCACGGAGTTTCAAAGCAAACAACAAAAGTTTTAATAAAAGCAAAAGATAAAAAGAAGAAAAGATGTGGGACTTTGGCAAAAAATATCATGTACAAAGAAGTATTATTGTAGTCATATCATTACATTTTAGTTTATTCAACATTTTCACATTATATACACACACACACACACACACACACACACACACACACACACACACACACACACACACACACACACACACACACACACACACACACACACACACACACACACACACACACACACACACACACACACACACACACACACACACACACACACACACACACACACACACACACACACACACACACACACACACACACACACACACACACACACACACACACACACACACACACACACACACACACATATATATATATATATATATATATATATATATATACTCAATTGTAATTTTTCCTTTAACAATATCAATTATCTCTATTATTTTAAAAAATGGTATTTGTAATTCAAAAATGGTACGTATATCATTTATCGATAGATAAGACGTCGCATGTACTTACTGTTAGTTTTATTAAAGTTTTACAAAGTGAGATTTTGATTTACAATGCAAGAAGTTGGATGCTCTTTTCAATTTCTTTGTTACAACATTTTGAAAGTAGTCGCCCCTAGCCTCTATTTATACACACAAAATGGTGGTAAAAACTATTCTAAAAAATTCTGATTTTTTCATTATTTTATTATTTATTATTCAAGACATTCTAGGAATTTCTGATTTTTTAGTTTTTAATTATTATTTTTGCTTGCTCATCAAGAAATTATAGGGACTTCTATTTTCTTACTCCCTAAGGCAATTATAGTGAATTCTAGATTAACCTAAAAAATATGCAACAACCATTAATATTGTGTACCTATGAAGGTGCTTGTCCAGATAAAATCTCTAGGAATTCAGGGGTTATGTACTTTGTCACATACCCTTTATTGAAGAGGACGATACATAAAATTGAGAACTCAGTTGAGGAAATATGGAAAGCTAAAAATTTAGATCTTATAACTACTGTTTACCCCAACACAAGTATCACTGAAAGCAAAACCATTCATCAATCTCAACATTCCAGATTCTGAACCTCCCATTCCGGGTTTTCTTCCCACAATTCCTGTAGAGAAACGAGCAAAAAGTATACAGCTAAAGAAACTCCGAATCTCGGTATCAGTAGTTGGGTTTTTCCTGATTCTTGCTAAATTAGTTTCCTGTAGTTTATATGTCAAAGCCTTGTATAAATTCAAAGCTGATAAGTTTCGTTCTTCAATGCGTCGAAGCTCGTTGAATTCATACTCGACCCCGAGAAGCTCCCGTTTATCTGGACCTCCAACTAGAGGCTCCGTGAATTCATGTTTGTCTCCTGATCTCCTTGTCGGGATAAATTATTCTTTGTGCAATTACAGCGTGGAAGAGATCAAATAGGCAACAAAAAATTTCAGTGTAGATACAAGAATTGGACCAAGTGTTTACGAGGGGTCGATTGATAATGGAGAAGTGATGATCAAATAAATGAAATTTGCGGTTGATCTACATTCAAAAATCAATCTTGTCAACATTGATTGAAGGCAGAAAAAGCTGACATTCATGAATCTCGAGCAACACTGGTGGACTCTGAGTGAGTGTGACGTTCGATGCTGGACGCTAGCTGGATGCCAGATCCACATGACCAGAACATTGAGGCCAACTTTAAATGAATACTCACGTCGAGTTACTAGTTCATCAACATTTATGGTTAGTGTTCTACAACTTCGTAATTAAGAAGAATATTATGTTCGATCAGTTATTTTGTGGAAAATGATTTGCTATTATTTTCCACGTTAGGGAGCCTGTTACTTGATATGAAAGATTCTTACAAGAAAAATTGATCAAGTATCCAAGGGTTAAAATATACTGTGCTACTTCACGTAATCCAATTATTTAAACAACAATTAAGCCCTATTTGATTTTGTTAAATATAAGATTTTTGTAGATTTTAATAAAAGTTAATAAACGTGTGTTTGAAAAGTTGATGAAAGTCGTGAATCTCATTTGTATAAAAGGTCTTCTTTTCCTTAGCAGAAAACTTAAGCTAAAGGGCAGCAGTTCCTCATTGAGCTATCCAATCGTAGTTTACAAGTATAGCTTCCATATCTACTTGTTTTTTGTTTCTTGGCGGCAACTTGGATCTTATGCTCTTTAGCCAGTGAGGTTTTTGTTTCTGCGGTTGGAGATGAAATTATTTCATGTGTAATTAAAATTAATTGTTAACTTTAGTTTAATTTTTTAGTTAAACCAAAAGAACTAAATTAAATTGAACTAATAATTACCTAATAAGAAAACTTGTTAAAAGAGAAACTAATCATCGAGTAAGTCTTGTGTATAACGTGTTAATCTACTGTTCCACTACACGTAATCCTTTCATTTAAAAACTCAATAAAAATGAAATTAAGTTGAACATATAATAAATCCAAGCCCAAAAGTTGAACGTGGTCATTCATCCAGTGGCCCCAGCTTTTCCAAAAAGATGCATCTTTTGATATGATAGAGCAAGATCGTGGGATAAAAATTTGTGGGGAATGAAATGTTGCAATAATTCATGTAGACAAATTTTTAAGTCAGTCTGGATGTTTTAAATTTAAAATCTATTTTGGGGGTATAAATGTTACAAATTCGGTCGCCCAACGAATTAAGCACGGATTTTAAATGAAGAGTTATGCCTTTGTTTGAGCTCCATTTTGCCCAAAAAAAAATGTATTTTTGAATAGTATATTGATGGGAAATATATGGTTAAAAATAAAGAAAAGTCATAAAATTGTCTGTAATATTATTTTATAGAAAAATGTGTAATTAAAGTGGGTCAAATTACTGTTGAAAAATATATTTCGATAGAAAAATGGGGTCAAACAAGGGCTATGCAAGTAGAAAAAGAGTGTTTGCCACGATTTCATCACATGAATTCTCATTGATTTTCAAATCTGGAGGTGTTGATGCAGCAAATTAATAGGCTACTACAATGGTGTGAGAGTGAAATGGTTGTGGAATCAATGATGGAAGAAGAGTCTGATGACAACGATAAACTTTTCTATCTCATATTGGGACATAACTTAAATTAAAATTTGTTTGGAATTGATAGAATCTTGCACGTTATTGCAAAGTTATATGTCACACCTTGATGTTGTGTAAATACCATGACAGGTCCTTACCTTTTAGTCCTGTTTGTAGCTTTTTGGTTCCAATAATAATACCCTTTTGGCCCCATTCCTTTATTCCTTTTCAAACTTTATTATTATTATTTTTTTTTTGTATTTTGAGATGTTATCTGCTCAATTTTCTTTTATTACTTACTACCTTTTCTGTTTGATCCCAGAAAGGTAATACTGATTATTGTCAATTCAAAATGTGGAATACTGGTTGTCCACTTCACAGGTATGAAGCGTGTAGGAGACTGCATGCTCGCAAAGAATATCTTCCGATATTAAAATATATATTTTCTCAGGCTGTATAATAATAAAAATAGGCATGAAAATATCCTCTTATATTAATTTCACAATAAATAAATGTAAATAATGATTAAGTCCATGGAAGATGGAATCATGTGGATTCCCATCTATATATTATGGTAATAATGTAAATAAATAATAATACTTTGTAAAAAAAAATAAAAAAAAATTCAGTCTCCTATCTAATCTCTTGGTCTATAGAGTTTTACAGAACGCTGATTTATAGGTTGGACTGGTCTTGCATTAGTAGCCGCCTCCTGTCATCATGAAAGTTGTAAGAAATCACAAAAAGAAAAAGAAAATCATAGACTATAAACAAATTTTTCTCTAAAATGTAAAAATTTCTACAAGAAATTTGCACAGGTAGATTTAATGATATAGAAACTCACATCGTGTACAGCTTCGCGAATCAATTTTACTTGTTCTCTTGTAACGGTCCTTACCTGATAGGATTTCAAGATACAATTAGAGAGTTTTTGACATGTTTGATACGTTGGATTGAGCCACAATTGAAAGGACTAAGAAATAAAACACAAGAGATGATATCTTTTTCTTGTCCTATACAATGTTGTCGTGCAGTAATTAGCTAGAGAGATGAAGCTTACCTTTCTCACAATTGTCCAACTAATATCTTGAGTGCAGGGCGGAACTGTAAGTGAACCAATGTACCTATAGTACTTTCTACTGCCTAATTTAAGAAGTTTTGGGTCAATAACACCTACTGATCTCTCTACGTTATGCGTATCAACAATAGCTTCCAAATGTTGCTTCATCTAAATTAATAATCAAAAAACAGTGTAAGAAATCGATTGAAGAAGTGCAAACAGATATGTTTGTAGATGCAGTGTTTAATTTATCGTCAATTACCATGGACAAGAAGGAATCAGGGCGCCCAATTTTGTACATGATTCCAAGCACAGCGGTCCTGTTATCCATGCTCTCATGGACCAAGTGAACCTCCATATCGAACCTGTCGTTGAGGGTTGTATATGTTTCTTATCATTAAAACAATTTGATTAAGAACTGGGTTTATTTTTTTGGAAAAGAAACATACTTCATCTAAGTACCTCTTGCCATTGAGAGTGTGTTCAGAAGGTGAATGCCAGTGACATTGTTTAAGCTGATATTCTGTACCATTTATCTGAATACTCCCTGCTCCGGCTTCCCATCTTAACTGCATTCATAAATACTTATTTCAATAAAAAGGAAACCCCTATATAAGATCGTGAAAGAAAAAAACTGGACAATATGCATTTTCCCAAGTATATTAATATAAAAAAGGTTTTTGCTATGATTAATGTCTCCATAATAGGATTACTGGCGGAGTTAGGCCGCTAGGATCTTAACACCAACTTTTCCCACCGTATACATTTAAAGACCACGGTCTAAAATTTCATATGAATCTTGTTGAACAAAAAATATAAATAAATAAATTCTTCCTCTTTAAAAACTGACGTTTTAGGGTTTGTTCGATAGTGATTTTGAGAATAGATTTTTTGACTGTTGGAGAAAAAAGTGGATCCTACCTGTGAGAGAAGAAGTAAAAAATAACGGCTTGAATAGTGAAATAACGATAAAAAAATTGATTTTTTGTGTGAAAAATCAATACCAAACATGTCCTTTATTTAAGCTGTTCAATTCATATTATATCGGAGTGAGCAATGCTAGTCAAACAGGAAATTTAGACAGGATTTTATACAGAAATTTACCTCAGCCCTTGATGAGAATTTAATCAAGGGATGAGGTAAATCCCTATAAAAATCCCTGTTTCTATCTCTCTATTGGAGTAGCTCACTGTACTTGATATGAATACTTTACGCATT